GGTAATTTTTTTTTTTGTTCTGCTTTTCTTCACAGAGGAATCTACACTCATGGAACTTCTTCACAGTAGTGGTGAGCCCACCTGTCTGCCAGAGAAATCTATCCTGGTGAATCAGCACCAGGGCGCGTTGCACCTTGTTGTGGAACGGGCTTAACATGGTAAAGATTGGTCCTCTCGTCATGCCACTGAGCGCCAATCACGAGGACGCCTCAGAACAGGTCGAATCACGTGACGAACTAACTTCTACATTCCTTGGTTACAGGTTAAAAGTTAAGACATATACCTGGAAAACAGATCCGTGAGCTATTTCGTAGTTGGTCCTGTCGTGGTAGTTACCCTCATGACGATCAGGACATGGGTGAGAAATTCTTCTTTTACTAATGGCCAGAAAATGATCAGTTCTGAAGTGTCGCTAAGGGTGAGACCGCCGTTCCTGACCAAAACTTTGGAAGTTAGGCTTGTTTGACCAGGTGTTCAGTGGCCTACTTAGTGACGTCGGAAGGAAGCCGTGTTGAGTCGAGGTTACGCCGTAGTTGCCAACATTGCTCGTAACCGCTGGCTGGACGCGGATCACCTTTGTGTTTGATAATCCCATGGTAATTAATCAAAACCCAACGTGGGACTCTAGTAATTTCCTCTTGTGTACCAAGTAAAATATTTAAGAAGTTTTACGTAAAAACGTTTTCATTTGGTCCGAGTGTATTGTGAATTGAAACTCGACGACCTACATCTACCCAAAGTTACAAGTTAGTCTTCTACCAGATAAGAGACGACCACTGTGAAGTGTCAAACTTCCTAGGTTTGTATTAATGATCTCACCCAATGGACACGTCGGAACTGACCATCATCTTTAGGCTTTAGAATAACTTAGCCACACAGAGTAAGTGGGCATTATTTGTAGAAACGTAAACTGTTTAAATAACAGCGATGTCCCTCTAGTGGTTACCTATTACTGGTATTAAAGTTTTTATTATTATTAAGGTTTAAATAACAGCGATGTCCCTCTAGTGATTACCTATTACTGGTATTAAAGTTTTTATTATTATTATTATTATTAAGGTTTAAATAACAGCGATGTCCCTCTAGTGGTTACCTATTACTGGTATTAAAGTTTTTATTATTATTAAGGTTTAAATAACAGCGATGTCCCTCTAGTGATTACCTATTACTGGTATTAAAGTTTTTATTATTATTATTATTATTAAGGTTTAAATAACAGCGATGTCCCTCTAGTGATTACCGTATTGCTGGTATTAAAGGTGTTTCTTAAAACTAAAGTTTAAATAACTGATATCCCTTCAATATTTACCGTATTATTGGTATTAAGTTTTTATTTGTGTAATAATGGAAGAAAAAACAAAGAAAGTTGTTACAGTTTCATAAAAATTATTTATGTTACAAATTTAAAAATGTTTCTATAGATATTTAAAAGGATCTTTCTTACTTTGCAGAATTTTCAATTTCCATAACATAATTAATTACTTACATGTTTTCTATAAAATTAAACTGATTCTCAATTTTTAAATCGAAAAGAAATTGTTAATAACAAGTTAAATTATTCTTATTTGTAAACGCCTTCTAGCGGATAAAGTGTGAATGAAATGCCACGAATTGTACTAATATTTATAATTCATCTGTTTAAAAACATTTGTGAAAAACAGTAAATATGAATTTTGTAGATCGTTGTAACTCTAGCGGAGATAAAACGAATCACGCTTTAACAGCAGAACACCTTTCTACAAGTGACGTTAGAATCCAAGAAACATTTATAAACAAAACTGGTGAAAACGTCATACAATTACCTGCGTCATTTAAACCATTGTTTCTCTATCCTGACAAAACTTTAATTGGTATGTCACGATTTAATCCTTTTTGGAATTTAGATCCTTGCTTGAGTGAAACTCCGGCTGAGCCTGATATAATGCAGATAACGGCTTTAATTTTTACTTCTCATTGTTTGTTAGACTGAAGACAGAGTTGAATAACGATATTAGGTCATGACGTCAGTCTTTATGAGAGGTGTGGCTTGAATGTGCAGGTTTACTTATGTGCTAGTTATTAGCAACTGGTTGTAAAGGAAGTAATATTACACTTGTGCTGTGTACACGTACTATTAGCTACTGGTTTTAAAGAAATAGGGTTAACATTACACTTGATGTATACTTGTAACAAGTATTACCAATTGGTTGTAAAGGAATAGGGTTAACATTACACTTGATGTATACTTGTAACAAGTATTACCAATTGGTTGTAAAGGAATAGGGTTAACATTACACTTTATTGTATACTTATAACAAGTATTACCAACTGGTTGTAAAGGAAATAGGGTTAACATTACACTTTGATGTATACTTGTTATACAAGTATTACCAACTGGTTGTAAAGGAAATAGGGTTAACATTACACTTGATGTATACTTGTTATAGTAAGTATTACCAACTGGTTGTAAAGGAAATAGGGTTAACACTACATTTGTACTGTATTCTTATTGAACGTAATATAGTTTATCTACTTGTACAGAAATATTTTCAGTCAGCCTAATTTTATATGTAGGTCCTAAAGTAGTTCAGATGTATTACAGATAATGTATCATAGTCGCGCTGTTTCTCTTTAAGTCATGCTGAGAAACTTCTAGAAATAAAGCCCAATGAATACTTTCCACATAGTTATAATATTTCTACTCTAGTCACGCTGAGAAACCTCTATAAATAAAGTATATATCGATTAATTTATATATATTTGTAATATTTCTGCTCTATTCATACTGAGAATCCTGTAGCAATAAAACATGTAGTGAGGATTCTCCACATAGTTGTCACGACTCCGTTTTAGTCATCATTAGAAGCCTATAGAACTACAGAAATGATATATATTGAAGACTTTCCATATAGTTATCGTGTTTCCGTTCTTCTCATGCCGAGATATATCTAGAAATCGGAGAGTACGAACGCCGTATTAAAGCAATACAAAACTCATCAGGATTTTCTTATCTACAACCTAGTAACCCACGTACACCATCTTATAAAAAAATTAAACAAACAAGTATTACGAAAATTTTTATCGCTAAATAAAAAAGCTATGTAGTGCTGACTACTGAACTTGAAAAAAGGAACCAAACAAGATAGGGATGGAAGTGGAAATATCACTTGATCTGGTTAATGATCACATAGCAGACTAAGCCTTCTTACTTTGCATGGAGAATAAAACCCCTACATTGCTGGCTTTCTCAATGGCAAAACAAATAGAAGCAGAATTTGTAATCGTAAAATGTTACTCTATTGTAAAATAGTCATAAAAGTAGTATTCTAAAGTTAACTAAAAGAAAGGTATAATGATGAAAGTTGAGATTCTATTGAAACACTAAACTTTCGATAGACAAAGTGGGGGAAAGCCAGTAGTGTAGGGATTTTATTCTCCGTGTAAAGTCGAGATGGCTTTATTTGTTTTGTGAGGATAAGCCGGATAAAATGATAATTTTTTTCCTAATACTTGTAACATTTCTATTGAGGACTTTCCATTTCTTATTCCCGTTTTGGCCATAATGAAAACTATCAATCGATACTCAAAATGTTAATTATTTTCCAGTCTGTACTAAAAATTAAAATTACGAAGCAGAATATTCTTTTTACTGGATAAATCTGGTTTTAACTCAAACAATAAAACGAAATCCCCGTTTTAGGATTGTTTTTTTTTAACGAAACGTGTAACTGAAGTGTTTTACATAAATAGGCCGATGATCAAAACATTGATAACATATTACAATGAATTCGAGCTATTTTCTCCGCAATAACAAGTTTCCATTCGCTTTGCTTGTTTTTACGCGACTTAAGCCAAAGCTGCTTGCTTACCAAACCAAATAAAGCAAAACGATGGTGCTCTAGATGATATATTATGTAGAGAAGAGAGTCGGGCTAACCTTGAGGGCTAGGAGTCCGGTGGAACCTAGACAAACTGCATACAGTGTGACCTTCGATAGTTATCTAGGTGTGTTAAATCCCGGTCCAGAGATGTTCAACTAGCACGTGTAGATTGAACGATTTATGGCAAGTCTCCAAGCCAATGTGTTTGAGGTACTAGGATCCCATTGATTTCTACACATTTTCAACGAAGATCAAAAGAAGTTCATCCTCCTTACAAAATATATTTAGTCTTTCTCTTGAGCGATGTGCTTTTTTACATAGTAAGGTAGATTGTGGAAGTTGATATTATTTGTTTACGTAAGTTGATGTACACCTTAAGGACGTACAATGGTTCTTAGAATGATAACGACGAATCCCCTTTATGTAGTAGTGATAGATTAACAACAATGAATCCCCTTTATATACTAGTGATAGATTAACAACAATGAATCCCCTTTATATACTAGTGAATCCCCTTTATATACTAGTGAGTCCCCTTTATATACTAGTGAATCCCCTTTATATACTAGTGAGTCCCCTTTATATACTAGTGAATCCCCTTTATATACTAGTGATAGATTAACAACAATGAATCCCCTTTATATACTAGTGTTAGAGTAACAACAATGATCCACAATTGCCTTCATATACCAGTGTTAAGGTAACAACATCAAACACTTTCATATAATAGTGTTACAGTATCAACAATGACTCACCTTCACGTACCTAGTGTTGAAATAACAACAATGAATATAATATGTCAGTGTTATAAACTACAGGTCTAGCGGATACATGTAATTATGAATTACGTAGTTTTGTGTCCAATTTTTGGGAAACGTCATGCTACCAATGAACATTAGAGCCTAACTTTTCCAAATTATCGGAGGTGCTGGATGTATTCTTTGCACAGCATTTAGGGTGCTAATCAGCACTCGCGTCAATAAATTTTGGAGGTGCTGAAGAACACTCACGGAGCTGACGGCTATACTAATGAATACATATTTAATGAGAGTAAAAATGACAATATTTAATGTACACGTTTTGTATACTAATACACCCTTGAAACAAATAGGCTTTGACCTATTATATCAGGACGAAGATACTATACAGTTTCTTTTTCTAGAAATTACAAGAATTTTTCACTAAGGGGGGGTCTTATTATTATTAAATAGCAATATTTAAGTTCAAGTTATGGAATTTCAATGGCGTAAGGGTTAGCACCATGCTTTGTCTTTGTTGATTCTTAAACATTTGGGTCAGCTTTTGCAAAATTTTGTTAGTCGACATAAAATATAAATCTGTATAGGAAAACAACAACAGTTTTTGTATATGAAGTGTATCATGAGATGAAATTTAGAGATTTATATTTTAGTTTGAAGGAGTTGTTTAAAGTATATCTAGTTATAATATTTATGGAACCACCTTATAATATAGTTATACAAGGAGTTCTAATTGTGGT